CACACCCCCTCCACCACCACCTCACTGCAAGGACACTGCTCCGTGCAAACACAAACGGGCACTACGCGTGCCCTGGAGAGCGAGGAAACAAGGGGGACCCAACATAGGCAGGTCCATAACAGGAACCCTCCAAACGCAACTTCCACCTTCCACTGCAGTCCTCCTGTCCTGGGTTCAGTGAGTGCTGGAGATTTTTGGTGGCAGGGGAGGGGGCTATCGGGGCGTCCCCCTGTGAGAAGCTTCTCGAAGCTCCCCCAGCTCCACGTCAGCTCCACTTCTGTTTGGGAAATTGAGCCAATCGGCTGCGCCTCTGCGATAACGTATTTAAGAAGGGACGTTATGACGGGCAGTCGGACTTGTGAGGAGGAGTTGCTGCAGCTGCATGAACACCAAGGTCAGTGGAGGAACGGAGGAAGAAAGGAGGGGGGAGGTGTGCCGGAGCAGAGACCCCCCTGTACCCTGTGGTGAGACGGCAGGGCGGCCCCCCCCACCACCCATGAAGATCTACGGTGGAGCAGACACTGATTCATGGCCTGTTGCTCCTGCTCGGAAGATGAAGGTGCTGTGCCCGAAGAAGGCCGGGGTCTCATGGGAAAAGGCAGCCCCGCTGCTGTAATTCAGCGCTGGGAGGATTGCAGCATGCGGGGGAGTCCCACACCTGAGCAGCTCGGGAAGGGCTGCAGCCGTGGGAGGGAATCCAGTCGGAGGAAGTTAGTGACCCATGACGGAGCAGTGTGGGGAACGCTGCAGCCCATGGGAGGAATTCAAGTCGGAGAAAGTTTGTGGAGGACTGTCTCCTGTGAGAGGGGGACCACGACAGAGCAGGGGGAACAAGTTCCGGACACTCCCCTCACCGAAGATGAAGGAAGTGGCAGCGCTGACTGCACCCCCCATTCCCTGCCCCTGCGCCACTGGGGGAGGAGGTAGAGATATCGGGAGCAGAGGTGAGCCCGGGAAGAAGGGAGGGGTGGGGGGAAGGTGTTCTCAAGATGTGGCAATGCTTCTCACTGTCCTACTCTGTTATGTGTTGTTACTGTCTGTAATAAATGTATGGGTTTTTTTTCTTCCCCTAACGAGTCTGCCTTTTGCTCGTGATCATAAAAAAGGGATATTCCCCCGTCCCAGTCCTATCTTGAACCCCAAGTCTGGCTCTCTGTCCCTTCTCATTGCCGGAGGGGAAGGGAGACAGAGCTGCTGCGTTGTGGTTGGCTGCCAATCAGGCCTAAACCACGACACCTCCTCACGTTCCTTCCAAACAGAAATACCCTGTGACACCAGGCAGGGGAGCCTCATTTGCTCTCTGTCTTCTCTGAGGTGGCTGAAGAGGCAAACCCACCTCAGGCAGAAAACCGGAGGAGGACAGGGAACGACACAAGCCTCAACACAGGCAATTCACACCAGGAAGACTAAACACACTATGACTGACTCTACCAGGAAGGCGACAGATACAACACCACAAGAGGCAGCAGGGAGGTGGCGAGATGTCCGTTCCTGAAGGTACATCCAAAGGCATCACTGGACAAGGCTCTCAGCAACCTCCTGACACCACGGACCCTCAGTACCAGCTAGCACTTGAGACGTCCAGAGCAAAACTCGTCTTGGGAAAAGAACTTTAGAAATGGAAAGAACTGTTGTACAAAGAGCGAAGACTAAAAAAGAAAAAAAAAGAGAGGAACTGAAAAGTTCCAGTAGTATGGGAGCGTAACGGAAGACATAAGCATTTTACCAGGCAAACACTGGACATTTGAAAAAGAGAACTGATTCGAGAGGGTATTTTCTTCTCCGTGGCACAATGAGAGTGTAGTCACAACAAACTGCTCAACTGGCAAAAATGCCAAATACATTCAGATCTGAAAAGAAGTTTTGGCTGCACCTCCTTCATTGTTAAATAAGCATCAGCTTAGAAAAGACTTCTTAACCCCCATCACAATGAGGATCAAACCGAAGAAAAGGTAGCAAAGAGATTGTAGCATCCTCATGAGGAAAAATTCAACGTTCAAGTACTGACAACCACAGACACCTCCTCAAGGGCCACCTGCACTTAGAAAGCTTCGGAGATTCCAAAGAATACATCATTTAACAAATGTCCAAAAATCTAAACAGAAAGGATTTATTCATAAAAAGCAAAGCGAAAAACGTGCCCAACGTAAAAAACGCAAACCCAAGGCTGGAGAATTAGATAAGGAAAAGAGATTTCGTCACAAAGGGAAATTCAGCGAAACAGTCCTAACCGCTAGCCAAGCAGAGAAAGGAAAAACCACACCAAAACCACACAGCAACAACGTAACTGTGCCACCCGTCGTGTGCCAGAGATTCCGCATCCCCTAAAGAAGCAGTGCAAACGATGAACCCCCAAACTAAAATCCCCCCAGAACAGCCACAGCAAAACATCGCCAACACACACGCCACACAGGGGCACCCCACCAACGCACTTCCCCAACACCACCGCAGCCAACAGCCAAAACCGAAAACCACAGCCGGAAACTCGCTGCCACCACAAAGCCCGGAAGGCAAAGCCGCCCGCGGCACCACATAAAGATAATGATTTCCAGGAAACACCATGAATATGCTCATCATTACCCTCCCCTCATTCTATCCAAATCAATCCGTAAAGACCACCAATGATTTCTGTAGAACAGGAACACAGGTAACGTGAGGTAACTGAGAGCCAATCGTTATCATGACTGAGGGCAAACGACACTTTACGAGGTTTGTTCATCTTATGGAACCATGACTCTGCTGAAAAAGAGCAGCAAGACGTTGCGCTCTGTACCTGCCGGTGAACACGCCTTTGGTGGAGCTATCCCCCGTGCTCCCCAGCGCTGGGATAAAGAAGTGCCGGCTTATCTGCTTTGTGTAGATAAGGTCTATTCGCCATTGGGACCGCTAACACACCCACCAACACAACGGGGCCCGACGAGAGCACGGCTCCCAGCCCGACACCGCCCTCCCACCACCACACGCCCTTCCCCGGCTCCCAAAGCCCGCAGGAACCTCGGCGACGCCTCACTCCCGCCAGCGCTGCTGGAAGGCACCCGAAAACATCAGTGTCTTGGGTTTGAGCGAGTCCTGGGGGTTTCTGGTAACAGGGGAGGGGGATATAGGGCAGGGGGCTATAGGGGAGGCCCCTGGGAGAAGCTTCTCGAAGCTCCCCCGCCTCCAAGGCAGCTCCACCTCTGCACCAAAACTGAGCCAGTCAGCTGCGCCTCTGCGGTAACGTATTGAAGAAGGGATGTGGTGAAGGGGGAGTCGGACTCGCGAGGAGGAGTTGCGGCAGCTGCGTGAACACCAAGGTCAGCGGAGGAACGCAGGAAGAAAGGAGGGGGCAGGTGTGCCGGAGCAGAGACCCCCCTGCATCCCGTGGTCCGACGGCAGGGCGGTCCCCCCTGCCACCCAGGAAGATCTACGGTGGAGCAGGCACTGATGGATGGCCTGTGTTTGTTGCCTGGGTGATCAAGGTGCTGTGCCTGAAGGAGCCTGGGGTCTTGTGGGAAAAGGGAGACCCGCTGTTGTAGTTCAGCGCTGGGAGGACTCCAGCGTGCAGGAGTGTCCCACGCCGGAACAGCTCGGGAAGGGCCATAGCCCGTGGGAGGGACTCCAGTTGGAGAAAGTTGGTGACCCACGCCGGAGCCATGTAGGGAAATGTTGCGGCCTCCGGGAGGGACTCACGTCAAAGCATGTTTGTGGAGGACTGTCTCCTGTGAGAGGGGGACCACGACGGAGCAGGGGGAACGAGTTCCCGAAGCTCCCCCCACCGAAGACGGACAAAGTGGCAGTGCTGACTGCACCCCCCATTCCCTGCCCCTCTGCTGTTGGGGGACGACAGAGACATATCGGGAGCAGAGCTGAGCCCAGGAAGAAGGGAGGCTTGGGGAGAAGGCGTTCTCAAGATCTGGCAGTGCTTCTCACTGCCCTACTCTGTTAACGGTTGTTAGTGTCTCTAATAAATGGATGGGTTTTTTCCCTTCCCCTAACGCGTCTGCCTTTTCCTCGTGACCACAGTGCGTGATCTAGCCCCTCCCGGTCCTATCTCCAACCCCAAGCCTGGCTCATCTGTCCCTTCTCATTGCCAGAATGAAGGGCAGAGAGTGGTGGAGGAGTGTTAGGCTGCCGATGAGGCTCAAACCACGACGCTCAGACATGGCAACCTCCTGTTCCTCCTCCTCCTGACTCCGGGGCTCTACAACACCCCCGCCTCACGGCCAACCCCTCCTTCCTTGCTTCTCCAGCCGCCTCAGCAGTCAAGGAGGCAGACAAAACTCAAGGAGGCCCCGGCTCCGGGGCCACGCGCACGGCACCGCAGCTGGGGACCCCGCGCCCCACCAGCACCACCAGCAGCCAAACTTCTTCCGCTCCCTTCCTCCCCATTCCCTCCCTCCCGCCTGTCCTCCCCGCTCCCATCCGCTTCCAACACAGGAGCCGGGGCAGCTCCAGCCACCAGCACACCCAGGACTCACGTGCCCACCCCCACAGCCACCCCCAGGCCCTCGCTGCTGCACCGGGGGCTCCCCACGCTCGCCCCACTGACATCACTTCGCCACCCTGCCCAACGCCAAAAGGAAAGACCAGCTACGACGACAACCCAGGCCAGCCACAAGCCAAAGGAAAACACACCCCAGCCAACGCCAGGGCAGCGCAGCCCCGAAACACACGCGGGCAGGAAGGGAAACTTCAGCTGCACCAGCCAGCCACCACAGCTCGCCCTGCCTGCCGCCCACAGGGAAACCCTCACACACCTCCCGCCGAGGGCTCTGTCCCGCCGCTTTCGCATCTCCCGCTCCAACAACGCACTTCCCCAAGACCACCGCAGCCAACAGCCAAAACCGAAAACCACAGCCGGAAACTCGCTGCCACCACAAAGCCCGGAAGGCAAAGCCGCCCGCGGCACCACATAAAGCCGCCCGGCCGGCAGCACCCCAAGCACAGCGCCCACCCGCACCGCCACCACGCCGCACCCGCCTCCTGCCCAGCACCCCCCACGCGGCACCCACAGCCCCACCATGCCTGCGCCCGCAGCCCCACAGCCCCGCCTGCGCCCCGCCGCCCCGGCGCTCCTGCTCCTCCTGCCGCCTCTCGCCACCGCCCTCGCCTGCCACCACCTGCGGCCCCGCCACGCCACCTTCCCCTGGGACAGCCTCCAGCTCCTCCAGGCCGTGGCTCCCAGCCCGCCACAGCCCTGCCACCACCCGCACCCGCCCGCCTTCCCCGACACCCTCCTCCACACCCACCGCCCACAGCAAGCCGCCCACACCGCCCTACGCATCCTCCAGCACCTCTTCCACACCCTCAGCAGCCCCAGCACCCCCCAACACTGGGACCACGACGCACGCCACCGCCTCCTCAACAACCTCCAGCACCACATCCACCGCCTGGAGCAATGCCTCGCAGGCAGCGCCACGCTCGACCAAGCCCAAGGGCCCCGCGACCTGCCGCTCACCATCAGCAAACACTTCAGCGACATCCAACACTTCCTCCGCACCCACAACCACAGCGCCTGCGCCTGGGACCGCGTCCGCCTCCAGGCTCGCGCCTGGTTCCAGCGCCTCCACAACCTCACCCGCACCATGCCCAATTAGCCCAACCGCCCCCGACAGCCCCCACGCACCCCCAACACCGCTTCGGCACCACCGCCCCAGACCCACCTCTGCCCGCCCGCCTCCCCTCACCCACGGCAAGACCCGCTGCGACAACGGCCCGCAGCCCGCACCCTCCCACGCCGCCTCCTCTGCTCACAACGCTTCTGCTCTTTGGCCCGACAACGGACCCCACCTATTTATTCCCCTATTTATTACACACCAAATAAACACCTCTTGCAAAAACCGCCACGCGGCCTCTCGTCTCACCAGCACGGCAGCCAGCTCCTGGGCTGCCCGGGGGGCACCCTCCTGCGAGCCCGGCTCCAAACGCGGCTCCGCAGACCCCGCGCCCGCTCTTCTCTCGCCCACCTCCCCGCGCAGGCGCTGCCCTCAACCTCCCGGGAAAACCTCTGCCGCCCTTTAGACAGCGCCAGCGGAACCACCGCTTCGGCCCTGCTCTCCTCAGCATCTCCCACCTTCCGCCATCTCCATCCCACCCACCGTCAATTCCACCGTCCCTGCTGCTGTCGTGCGGGGACACCGCTCGGCAGCCAACCACCCCAATGCCGCTCGCCCACCCTCGCCCCCCACCTGCCAACGGGGGAGGGAACCGCAGGGGCAAAGGGACGCTCGCACATCGACACAGAAGCCGGTTCACAACGGTCATAAAACGAAAACAACGGCAGCAACAGAAAATAGAAACGGGCAACGCGCAGCGCAATCGCCCACCGCCCGCTGACCAATCCCCAGCCCGTTCCCGGACAGCCACCCCCAAACACCAAGGTCCCGCAATCGCAATCCCGGGAGCGAGAGAGAGAGCCCCCCCCTTCCCCACCACCCCTCCTTTCCACACTGAGCGTGACGTTCCACGACACGGAGTATTTCACTGGCCGGTTTGTGGCCGGGGCTCTGGCCGTGCTCCCTCCCTGCTTCTTGTGCACTCGCGCACGGGCAGGACACCGCGACTCGGAGACTCCCTCAAATCTCAGCAGCAGCTGAAAACAGCAGCGTGCTAGCAGCACTCTTCCCACGCCAAACCCCGTGCTCAATCCAAAGCACGGCAATCTTCTGGTTGCCAAAAGGAACGTGAACTCTATTCCAGCCCAAGCCAGGACAGCTGGGCTCCGCGGTGCGAGGAGGACACGGGCCTCCCGCAGCTGCTCCCCAGCAGGGCCGCAAGCGGGATCAGAGCGTTGCAACGCCTCCGCCAGAGGCACGGGCCGAGAGACTCGCGCTTCTTCGGCCCGGAGAAGAGAAGGCTCCGCAGAGACCTTCCTGCCGCCTGCCCAGGCTCCAAGGGGGCTTGCAAGGAAGGCGGGCGCACGCTTTGCCGCAGGGCCTGTCCCCACCGCACAAGGCCTGATGGCTTCCCACCAACAGAGGCCAGGCTCACGCCGGGCACCGGCAAGACATCGCTTCCCACCAGCGTGCTCCAACGCTGCCGCACCTTGCCCAGAGAGCTGGCACACGCCCCAGCCCCGCAGACACGTCCAGCCTCAGCTGGGACGGGGCCCTCAGAGACCCCAGCTGCTCCACGAGGGGGCCCTGCTCCTGCCGGGGGGGGCTGCACCACCACAGCACCTTCCAAGCTCCCTCCCAGCCCAAACCACCCCAGCAGCCTACGAAGGACACGCTCGGCACACATCGCTGCCACCACCCGCACTTCGGCTCCTCCGCCCGCCTCAGGCATTTCGCACGACCACCCTCTCGCCGCGCTGCTCCAAGACACCTCGCAGCACCAACTCTTCTAGTGCAACACGCACAAGCTCTGGCCCTGCCCCTCCCGCCTCAGCCCACCGCCGGCACTGACGGCCCCTGGCTACGCCAAATCCCCACGCACGGGCCCGCACCCCAAGCACAGCACCTCCGGCACTTACCTTACTAAGACTGCCTGACTCCTAGAATATTCTTTTCATTTTAGGTTAGAACACCATTTTGGGTTTAAAACGGAGTCACAGCACCTAGGAGAACGTAAAGCACACCAAGGCCCTTACGAAGAGCTAGCTAGTATGGCGTGTGCCTTCAACACTCTACGAACCTTTAGGGACTCGGAATTAAAACAACGGGCACTGCTTACGGGTCTCGAGTCAAAACGAGCAGTACCAGAACATACTGGATTTCGTTTGGAAGACCAGCCAAAGAAGAAAGGAGCATCGGCCAAAGACAAAATTAGCATGCAGAGGGATGGAGCTCAATCAGCGCCCACCGTGAGGAAGGAAGAGCATCGACGACCACCAGAGGACCCCCGTCCAACATAACCACGCAGGCGATACAGACATTTCAATATGATAATGATTTCCAGGAAACACCATGAATATGCTCATCATTACCCTCCCCTCATTCTATCCACATCAATCCGTACAGACAACCAGTGATTTCTGTAGAACAGGAACACAGGTAAGGTGAGGTAACTGAGAGCCAATCGTTATCATGACTGAGGGCAAACGAAACTTTACGAGGTTTGTTCATCTTATGGAACCATGACTCTGCTGAAAAAGAGCAGCAAGACGTTGCGCTCTGTACCTGCCGGTGAACACGACTTTGGTGGAGCTATCCCCCGTGCTCCCCAGCGCTGGGATAAAGAAGTGCCGGCTTATCTGCTTTGTGTAGATAAGGTCTATTCGCCATTGGGACCGCTAACACACCCACCAACACAACGGGGCCCGACGAGAGCACGGCTCCCAGCCCGACACCGCCCTCCCACCACCACACGCCCTTCCCCGGCTCCCAAAGCCCGCAGGAACCTCGGCGACGCCTCACTCCCGCCAGCGCTGCTGGAAGGCACCCGAAAACATCAGTGTCTTGGGTTTGAGCGAGTCCTGGGGGTTTCTGGTAACAGGGGGGGGAGATATAGGGCAGGGGGCTATAGGGGAGGCCCCTGGGAGAAGCTTCTCGAAGCTCCCCCGCCTCCAAGGCAGCTCCACCTCTGCACCAAAACTGAGCCAGTCAGCTGCGCCTCTGCGGTAACGTATTGAAGAAGGGATGTGGTGAAGGGGGAGTCGGACTCGCGAGGAGGAGTTGCGGCAGCTGCGTGAACACCAAGGTCAGTGGAGGAACGGAGGAAGGAAGGAGGGGGGAGGTGTGCCGGAGCAGAGACCCCCCTGTATCCTGTGGTGAGACGGCAGGGTGGCCCCCCCCGCCACCCATGAAGAACTACGGTGGAGCAGACATTGATTTATGGCCTGTTGCTCCTGCTCGGAAGATGAAGGTGCTGTGCCCGAAGAAGGCCGGGGTCTCATGGGAAAAGGCAGCCCTGCTGCTGTAATTCAGTGCTGGGAGGATTGCAGCATGCGGGGGTGTCCCACGCCAGAGCAGCTCGGGAAGGGCTGCAGCCGTGGGAGGGAATCCAGTCGGAGGAAGTTAGTGACCCATGACGGAGCAGTGTGGGGAACGCTGCGGCCCGTGGGAGGAATTCAAGTCGGAGAAAGTTTGTGGAGGACTGTCTCCTGTGAGAGGGGGACCATGACGGATCAGGGGGAACAATTTTGGACACTCCCATCACTGAAGATGAAGGAAGTGGCTGCGCTGACTGTAACCCCCATTCCCTGCCCCTGCGCCACTGGGGGAGGAGGTAGAGATATCGGGAGCAGAGCTGAGCCCGGGAAGAAGGGAGGGGTGGGGGGAAGGTGTTCTCAAGATGTGGCAATGCTTCTCACTGTCTTACTGTTATGTGTTGTAACTGTCTGTAATAAATGTATTGGTTTTTTTTCTTCCCCTAACGAGTCTGCCTTTTGCTCGTGATCATAAAAAAGGGATATTCCCCCGTCCCAGTCCTATCTTGATCCCCAAGCCTGGCTCTCTGTCCCTTCTCATTGCCGAAGGGGAAGGGAGAGAGAGGTGCTGCATTGTGGTTGGCTGCCAATCAGGCCTAAACCACGACAGTTTTTGGCGCCCAACGTGGGGCAGAGAGTTGCGATTTGATAAGGATATTAATTGGGAGAGGTAATGAGCAAAATACAGACTGAACACCGTTAGTGGAATGATCTTTCTAATGTCCGTAGTTGTAATTGTGGGGAAGTTTTTTTTCAGGTGTGGTGAAGGGACTATGGGTGGATGTTCTATGCTGTGTTTCAGTATTCTGTCAGTATATGTTTTATTTGGGTGTGGGGAAGTTCCTTTCAGTCTGGTTTTGCCTACTCTTTGTTCTGATGTTGATGTGTATACTGTTTTCTGAACTGAATGTTGGATCTCTTAATTCTTAAATACGTGATTCGCAGAGGCAAAGGGTTGGAATGTCCTGGGTTGAGTGAGTGGTGGAGTTTTTTGGTGGCAGGGGAGGGGGCTATATGGGCGGCCCCCTGTGAGAAGCTTCTCGAAGCTCCCCCAGCTCCACGTCAGCTCCACTTCTGTTTGGGAAATTGAGCCCATCAGCTGCGCCTCTGCGATAACGTATTTAAGAAGGGACGTTGTGACGGGCAGTCGGACTTGTGAGGAGGAGTTGCTGCAGCTGCATGAACACCAAGGTCAGTGGAGGAACGCAGGAAGAAAGGAGGGGGGAGGTGTGCCGGAGCAGAGACCCTCCTGTATCCTGTGGTGAGACGGCAGGGCGGCCCCCCCCACCACCCATGAAGATCTACGGTGGAGCAGACACTGATTCATGGCCTGTTGCTCCTGCTCGGAAGATGAAGGTGCTGTGCCCGAAGAAGGCCGGGGTCTCATGGGAAAAGGCAGCCCCGCTGCTGTAATTCAGTGCTGGGAGGATTGCAGCATGCGGGGGAGTCCCACACCTGAGCAGCTCGGGAAGGGCTGCAGCCGTGGGAGGGAATCCAGTCGGAGGAAGTTAGTGACCCATGACGGAGCAGTGTGGGGAACGCTGCAGCCCATGGGAGGAATTCAAGTCGGAGAAAGTTTGTGGAGGACTGTCTCCTGTGAGAGGGGGACCACGACAGAGCAGGGGGAACAAGTTCCGGACACTCCCCTCACCGAACATGAAGGAAGTGGCAGCACTGACTGCACCCCCCATTCCCTGCCCCTGCGCCACTGGGGGAGGAGGTAGAGATATCGGGAGCAGAGCTGAGCCCGGGAAGAAGGGAGG